ATAAATTAAAACCTATCGAAATTTAAATCATATCCACCCTAGCCTGTGACTCTGTGTAGTGACAAGGTCAAAGATACCCACTTATTTTTTTTTAATTGCCGTACGAAAAGTAGGGTGGATATGATTTGATTTCGAGCAGAGAGCATGCTGCAGTTATATTACTAGTATAATTGTAGCACAAATGGGTCGGCTCGACTGGGGAAGGACCACGCTCTCACAGAATACCAGCTTAACCTGCAGCTAAAGCTTACTAATAGTAGCTTAATGCTACTGTGTTTCGTATGGTGAGTGTAGAGAACTGGAGATCCTTTTTACTGGAAACATTTTGATTCGTAATCGAGTATAGATGTAGATGTCTATTGGCCACAATTATCACGTAGTAAAATATCAATGCCATAGGCTTCTACTCTCTTCACATGTAACATCCTATTTTTTTCCAGACTATTTTTTTCCAGTATATAAAAATATTGCTCATACGAAAATCCACCTGTATCACAATCTACTACCTCTCCAATAGAAGAGACTATATTGAGCCGTCTTAATTCGGAGGTTATCCTATTATGTATTATAATATACTCTTCGAACCAGAATACAGCAATGCATGCCTTTTTGGCAAAAAAGGAGTCCTACAATCCAGTACAAATACTGTATACTATACTACATCCAACGATAACAGATGTCGCTACATTAAAATTGGGTTTTGAAACGGCTTTTAGAACCGGTAGTAGGTTTTAAAGTTCATTAACGTAAAGTAAATAAAATATTTCTTACTTTGACTTTGATTTTATTTTTAGTTTAATGTTTTTGTCCATTATCAAGTGTAAATTTTAAAATCTAAATACGTACTAGTAACAGTGGACACGTAATTATGGAGCAGATGATGGTCGCCTTAGCGTTATCTATATGACAGCTACATGAGTGACGTACTATGAGATATTTCTCGTATATCACATAGTCGTCTCTTATATTACCCACAATGGACTCTCTGACGCCTCCAATACATTTCTTTTTTTTACTTTACTTATAAACTTGTAACCAGTCTCTACACTTGCGATTTAGCGTTTTTTTTTAATTTTTCTAGTAAAGTTTATTTTGATTTTTAAAACTAATATTAATTAACGTTTCCTAACGATGCGTAACTGCATAAACAAAAACGGATGCCCTTCATAGTCTTCTGACTTCTGAACCCTTGACTTATAAATTCGATACGGCTATAAAATAAGAGTAAAAAAAAGAAAACACGCATTGGTCATGACCTGTGATAATCTCCTATTTATTACATATACATGTATGAATACGTGTAGATATTTAAACATATATTTACACAGGCAAGTACGCACGTATGCACGCACGCACGCATGCATGCATGCACGCACACATGCATGATGGCACGCGAGGTGACATTTTTAAGCACTAAGCAATATGTGACAGCGATTATCCATGTCAAAACGAACTTGCGCTTTATATATTTATATAGGGTTAGTCATAGCGTAAAGTACTACCGTATCCTAGCTAGGATACCTAGTATCCTCTTGGTTGCTTTGGCCCTGGACTTAACGAACCACGGAAAGTTAAGGTATGGAGATATCTAAGTCCATAACAACTGAAGGTTGTCGGTGTGCTCAAAAGATACATCCTGGAAATTAGGAGCTAGGGTGAGCGAGCTAAAAGTAAATAAAATAATATAGAAAACAAAACAAAAAATAAACATAATGGTTATAAGGAAACACTAAAGATAAAAATATTTTATTTTATCCTGGTGATCCTGATCAGGATACTAGGATAAATATATTAATAAGTCATGGGTCCTTGATACCAGTGCAAATTTTCAAGTCAATCGGTTGTCTACATGTTGGTGAATATTACATTAAAGATTCCGTTACATAGATAGATGGATACACGCGTAGTTAATAAAATCGTGTTAAAAAGGATAAAAAGGTTTTCTGATATTTTTTCTTGTATTTTTATTCCTTACGTTTTCACATTTTAGCAGCGATACTTTTGTAGATACCTACTTTAGAGGACAGCAAAAAAACTGCTTGCATCCTTGAAATAGCTTTAGGTTCATACTTCAAACGATGGTCTTATTTTTGTTTTACCCTCAAAACTTAAGTCGGAACTCCAAAATGTATGAAAGTGTTTTAAACTATGACGCATTTTAATTATGAAACACTAAGCCTCTGTAAGAGACAGACATCGAGATGATTATATTTTGCTAAATTTTGCACGAAAGGATTGGCATAAAAAATGGAAATTTTACTCACTATAAAAATCCATTGTAGAAATTAAAAATATATTATTAACAGGAAAATGCAATCCCATTGCAATTCAGTTAAACAATACAGCAAACAAAAAAAAAGAGTAAAAAAGTACCAGCATATTATCCTATAATCATTTATTTGGAATAGGCTCAGAAACTCAGAAACAAACACAGAAGGCATTCGAAAACCACATCCGGTTGAGCATTGGACTACGTAATTGAAAAGTTTTCTGTACTTTATTAATAGAAGCAATATTGTACGCCAGTGAGTTTTAATTATTTAAATTTTCTAAAACTTTGTGATTCCCATTGTAATGTAGAGGCATGACAAGGAATTTGGAGTCTGGTATGAAGATCTGATGATTTTACTAATCTGATTTTTGACGTGGAATAAATACTCTCATAAACATCAATAAATTTCACTGCCTATAAATCTATAACAGCCACGAATTTGCCTTGATGTTATATTTCTACATGTCACGATCGTTTTTGATTATATTGCGCACCAACTGTCTAAAGCCTAAACGATGCGGAACTAATGCTGGTGAACGTGCCTTTGTATCGTATTATGCAAATATGTTACAGCTTGTTCACACATATTGACATATTCTCGTGCTCTACCACGTCCGTGTATGTATATGCTCAGTAGATATACACACGTGGTAGAGCTAAGTTGCAGCTAAATTATGGATACACGCTCTCACAGAACACTAAATTAATGCTGCTGTGTTTCGTATGGTGAGTATAGAGAACCGGAGACCCTTTTTACTGGATACGAGATAACGAATTTGCAGTTTGATTCTTAATTGAGGATAAATGTACATGTCTATGTGCCACAGTATCTACTCACCATCAGGTGGACTGTGTTTGTTTGCCACTCTTATGCTATAAAAAATGGGAACAGTGTCATCATCATCAACATTGCAGCACACTGAACGTAGACCTCCCGCTAGGCATGATACAACGTCTGAGCCACTTGCATCTATCAACTTCTTGCATTCCTTACCAGGTCATCACTTAATTTAGATGGAGTCTGTCCTACACTTCGCTTACCGGTACGAGATTTCCACTCAAGAATTTTTCCTCACCATCAATTATCGGTTCTACGAGATATGCCCTGCCCTTTGCAACTTCAGCTTACTGATCCTTTGTGTTATTTCGGTTAATCTGGTTTTACTGCGGATATCCCTTTGTGATAGTCTATCACATAGGGAAACTCCGAGCATAGACCTCTCCAGAGCGCATTCAGTGACCTTGGGCTTATCATATAGTTAATTTAGGCGTTTAGACTTCTTTGTCTATATTTTTCTCTTTTTATTTGGGTAAATTCTTCTACATAAGGATTGTGTACCTATACGTGGAGAACATTGGTGGATACATAATTACTTATTATTACAGGAATTCTTTCTGTATATGTGGTGGAGCCATGCTACAGCTATATTATATTTGTAGTACGAATAAGTCGGCTCAACCGCGGAATAAAAAATAGCAGCTAAATACTGCTTTGTTCCTTAAGATGAGTGTAGAGAACTGGATACTCTGTTTACTGGATACAAAGCATTCTATCATAGTCTTTAGGGGTGACAACGCATCTGAATTTTTATTCTAAATCGAGGACGAGTAGACGTATATATCTATGGGCCATAGCATCCACTTATCATCATGTGGGTTGTGTGCTCTCTTGTTAAAAATTGTTTTAAATTTTAGGATTAATCTATATGCAATCTAATATTGTTAACAATTTACAAAATAAGAGGTTCCTATACTTATTAAAAAAATAACGATATTATTGACTTCTAGAATAATAACTTATTCATGAATATTGTGTTGTGTAACTTCTAACTAATTAAATCCTACGACCACTTTATAAATTTTGTTGCTTTTGTGAAGTAAGGGTGACAAAAGACCACACGGTCAACTTAATAGTAAAATGATAGACCCCTACACGTACCCTCGATGAAGATTTAAATTGTAGATGCGTTGTTATTTCTGAAAGGTCAAGTGCTTCGTAACCAATGAAAAGGGTCTCAGATTTCCGACAATACTCGGGGCACAGTAGAACAATGATGTTATTTAATACTGGTATTCTGTGTGTATATAGTTCAATAGCTGAAATTCAGCACTGTGGCTCTGTTATACGTAAAGTAAGCTTCGTCTAAGTCAGAGACACAACTGTCGAACATAAAATCGTCAAAATGAATGATTTTTGTTATGTGTTATTGCATTTGGATAGGTAGGATAACAATGGAATTGCCGTACATAAATTTATTTTCAACAGACTTCAATAAAAAGTTTTTAATTCAATTGAGTATTCTTCGATTTAATATATTATATTACGCGATATTTTCGTAAATTGGGATATTTTTTTTTTTGTATTTTATAGGTAAGGGGTGGTCTCAAATAAATTTGTAGAAAACGTGCTATCCTTAAAAGTAACAAAATGGAATATGAAGTTTAAATGTAACTAGACTAGAAGACATTGGGCTGTGAAATTCTTGAGTTCGCTCAAACGAGTTGAAATTAACATTTAAAAAAAGTAATAATCGGCTTCAAACAATAAAAAAAAAAACAATTTGTCATTCTTAAATCAGGACTTATTTCTTCTACACATTTACTTAGCACGGAATATAGAATATTAAATTATTTTATTCATTCCAGTTATTCGAAATCAGCTTGTAATTTTATTGAAAGTTATTTTTAAACTTAAACAAAAATAGAAAAAACGATTTAAAATACTCACAGTGAAACAAAACAGAACTCTATGGTCCATACTACAGCGAACTAATCCACCAAAAAAACCAATTAACCCGCCTTTAAACAGCACCGAACGCAAAGTGACGAAAATATCGTCATCCGTTCTGGGCAAATACTGCGGGTGCTTTTATCGTAACTAATAATTTATTGTGGTTTCACTTTGAAATCATGAAGGAAATGCTGACAATTGTTAACTAAACCACACTTTTATAGCATCCTTGTTGAGTCAGAACAGGCTTACTGAGAATGAGCCATAGGTGCCGAGTCTTTTGTATTAATCATTGCACTAGTGATCAGTTAAGTTTTAGTTTGTTAGGATATTAAATGAATTGAAATTTATTTTATTTTTATGTGGTAGACCCACGCTGCAGCTATATTATGGTTGTAGTACGAAAGGGTGGGCTGGACCGGGCAAGGACCACGCTTTTACAGATTACCAGCGTAAAATAGCAGCTTAATACTGCTGTGTTTCGTATTGTGAGTGAAGATCTCCGTAGAACCTTTTTTACTAGAAACGAGGTATTGCATCTTAGTCCTCACAGGTGACAACGCATCTGCGTACTGATTCTTAATCGAGGATAAATGTAGATGTCTATAGACCACAGGAACCACTTACCATCAGGTGGACTGTGTCCCCATTTTTAACCCTTATTCTATAAAAATAATTGAAAATATTTTTCGAATTTCTGTAAATTTGATATCATTACTACTATTCTACTCACTTAGTACTTAAATTTGAAATAAATCAACAGTCAATACCTAGAATTTCAGTATTCTTCTTACAAAACTACAATACTTGTAGTTAGAAACTCTTCTTAAGGAGCAGCACATGACGTGAAACTAATTACTGAACTCTACTTATTTACGGATGTTATAAATTTAATAGCGATGTACCCCGGCTTCGGCTGAATATAATCGATTAATGTGGCGTTATTATATTTAAAATAGTTAAACACCATTTACTTTATCAATAATTCATCTTTTTTTAGATAGGGTGACAAACGAGCACACAGACCACCTGATGGCAAGTGGCTGCTGTGGCCTATAGACATCTACATCTTTCCTCGATTACGAATCGGATGCGTTGTCACTAGTGAGGAATAAGATGACCTTTTTTAAGTTTTCAGTAAAAAGGGTCTCCTGTTCTCTACACTCACCATACGAAACACATCAGCATTAAGCTACTACTTTACGCTGGTATTCTGTGAGAGCGTGGTCCTTACCTGGTCGAACCGACCCATTCGTGCTACAACTATACTACTAATATTACTGCAGTATGGCTCTACTATGCATAAACCGTTTGTCCTTAAAAAATCTTCAAGATTTTCGGATAAATATAGCATGACATTTGACTCTCTATCTCTTCGTAAGGATTCATCACAATCGAATTCCGCAGATTAGCCCGGACAGATAGACAAAACTTTTAAAAACGTATATACATAGTAGCATGCATATAATCACCGGAACTTAATAGAAACCAGTTACTTAAACATTACTGACGGACATTATAACATAAACACTCACGCCTGTCACCCAGAGGGGTAGGCAGAGACTACAGCCTTCCATTTGACACGATCCTGACACCTTCTTGCCTTCTCCTATATTCATTTTCAATATATCGCCAATTTGGTAGATAAACTTTCACCTAGGACGCTCCTTTCCAACACTGCTGTTCACTTCTGCAACATAAATTTGCTTTATCACTCTCTCCTCATTCATTCGTTCTATTTGACCAAACTACAGAAGCATTCCTTTCCTAATCCTAGTCACAACATCGTCTCGCAAACCACAGTCTTCTCTTATCACACAATTTCTCACCCTGTCACTCAAATTCAGCCCCAACATATTTTTTAATAACCGCATTCCACTGCACTGACGGACAATTCTATTTTGTTTACTTATATAGTATAGATTAACTGAACAATATATAATGATTTCTTAAATTTACGCCAAAACTATTTGTAGGGATTTTAATCGCGGTTAATTAAATATTTTTAATTCCCGATATTTCGGCCCAGCAACTTCAGGGGGAGGGGAGGGGAGGAGATGTTTGACGTCCCAATTACATAGTTAGCCCGGCTACCTTCAGTTTTTGAATATTAATTTTTGGTCCGATCTACGCAGAACGAGCGTACACTATCTCGAAGTCTGGCAGTGGTATGCTTGGGTTTGGGTTTAATTTTGTTAACTATAGGATTCCACGTAGATGGCAGCACCCATCCATCTTCTCTATTGAAATTTGGATGTTTTTTTTTAATTTCATTAGCCTCGCGTATCATCCTAGGTAGGAATCGGTGTTCTTTTGCGAGGATTTGTGGTTTAACAAATCTGATATAATGGTGGGGACGATCTTGAACATGTTCACAGTTGTATTCACTGAACAACACATAATTGTTTATGATCTATATCTTTTTAAGAATTTGTTTCTCACAATAATAATAATAGTCACACTTGTCTCGTTGGTTTATCAGTTGTAAGAGCGAATCGGGTCGAAATTAGTGATTGGGTTTTTCTGTTAAGGAATTAGCAATCAGCACTTACATTTACAGTTAAAAATCGTACTGGTGCCGGTAAGGATCGAACCCGGGTTGTCCAGGTACTGTGAAATTTACACCGGGCGCTCAGCCCCTAAGCTATCACGATTTATTATATTTTATTTATTCGCATTAATATTGGCTCCGGTTCGTATTTAAAATAAAGATCATCAACTTTGGGTAACAAAACAAGATTTACAATGGATATATTTTACACACGTCGCTTCTTTTTGGAAAGAAGCCTCACAGAATATAAACATCTATTAATATTTTAAAGAAATTCACAAATAAATACAGGCTCAGGTTTACGCCGTATACCTGTGTATCCAAGTTTATAGTATATATAAGTTTTTAAATATTTGTGTTTCTGTTTGTCTGTATTTTCGGGTTAACGGTGGGAAAAGCAGAACGGATAGTGATGAAAATTTGCAAACGGATATAGAGCAATGCCAGGAAGCTGTACTTTATCCGAAAGGCTTAAAGATGTTTCTTCAGAATAAAGAAACATTGATAAAATTAATGATCTTTTATTATCATAAATCTATGTAAATAACTCCACTTTAGTATATCGCATTAAAGCGAAACCGGGGCGGGTAGTGGGTATATAAATATTTTACATCGACATACGTACATTATATACAGTATACACAGGCAAACGACAAGCGACTCAATACTTGTTATACCAGAGTTAAAGTTTCCCATCAATTGAACAGTAAAATAGTTCGCTGAAAATTTTATTCAACAAATTTCTTAGTAGAATCCATTTGGCTTTTATTTGTAACTAGCTTGTCTGGGAGACGTTGTTCTGCCGCTTCTTTTAGTGGGGCGATGTATATGTGCGAGTAAATGAAACACAATTTACAAATATAAATTTTTCTATAGAATTATTATGCGTATAGCTAAATTCTCTTTTTGGCTAATAGAACCAACAGCAACATAAACTAAAAAAATAAAAATACGTGTGGCACTCGGTGACTGCCGCGGTAAAGCTATTGCATAGCATGTTTTATCAACTTATGCAATTATAATTATTTATTTATTTTATTTATGCAGTTAAGTCTTTGATATTAAATCAAGTTACACTTTTTGAGCATGGTGACCGATAAGAAAACAATTTTTTTCTCTTATTGAATAAATGAGAAGTTAATATTTTTTAAAATATTTTTAATATCTTACAATACATGTAGGTTATTCAGGAAGTAGGCGCAGAAGGCAAGTAGTTATTCAAAGTCCATTAGGTTCAATATGACGGCCGCTTTACTCACCGGTCAAAGAACCCGCTTGATATGACGCGAGTTCTTATATACAAAGCATAGTTCATATATAAAATTAAGTTTTCTTTTTTTTTTTTTTTAACATTAACCCTAGTATTGTCTCTTGTATCACGAAGGCAGTTTATTAACAAAATTTGCACAAGGATAAACATTAAGACGTGGGACAATTATTTGTAATACTTTTTCCGTGCGGGATTCGAACCCGCGGCCCCATTGCTAAAACTCATTGCTAAGCCACTGCCCCCCCCGAACGGGTTCCCGCCTTGTCGTGGCGGGGGGCTTAGTAGCCGTGGCTTGGTCTCCCACGGTGAACAAAGAGGAACCCACGTGGCTGGCCCGAGGTGAAGGGCCGGCCTGAGGTGGCCACTCCGAGTGGGCTTGGGGAGCCCACTTCGGATGTGTGCTGGTGGACTGCAGCGAGTGGGGACTCGCGCACCCTCTACCGCTGCAGCCGAGGTGGAGTCGCGGAGGAAGAGGAGTGTTGGTATGGCGATGCGCCACTCGCCCTATCCTCCGCGACTCAAACGGGGCCGCACCGTTGATGCGGTGATGGTGGGGCTGCGGGGGGAGAGGATTGTCGGTATTGCGAGGCGCCGCTCTCCCTACCCTCCGCAGCCGAATCTTGGTTGGCGGCGGAGCCATAGACCAGATCCGCCGCTGGGGTCGGGAAGGCTAGTACTTCTAAGTGCTCGTTTTTCCTGGCCCCATGGCCTTTGTGCATCGGACGCGGGGGCGTCTGTTGCACAGACGTAATTGGAGGCCGTGGAGGAAGGCGCGCCATGTTTTCTGGTACGCCTTACCTGGGAAGGAGAACGGGGAGGAATTTTCCTCTCCCGAGGAGGTGCTGCCATGGGGCGGCAGGCGCTAGTAGGGCCGCGGATGTGTGCGAAAGCGTTCCCGTAGCCCTGCCAATATGCGACAAAGGTGGAACACCATGGGGTTTTAGTCGGTGCGAGTCCGACATAACCCGTCCTTGCCCCCGCGAGGCGGGTATGCGTAGGCATTTCCCCATGCAAAAAAAAAGCCACTGCACCACGGAGCCGTCTAAGTATAGTAGTTTATATATTCTGTATTAATTATCATCACCTAATTTTTTACCCGACTGTCCTAGATGAAGGGTAAAGTTTTTCAAGCCTAAACGGCTCGGTGGGTCTTACTTAATTGTGAGGGTGATATAGGCTATGGTATATTTATATATTGCGTCTGCA